TTATTGGCTGATTCCGGAGTCCATGTATGGAAGCGTACCTTCGGATAGCAGGCTGATCAGAAAGCTTAAGGAGCTAACACCTTCTGGTCCAAGGGTTCTGACCCCGGACATGCTCAGATCTATCCACGATGCAGATAAACCATTGAGCAAAGGTAAAAAGGCGGATAAAGGAAAGCAAGTAGAAAAACCTTCAAAGGGGCCTTCACCTAAGAAGAGGAAACAGACAAAAGCTGCCACTTCCCCCCCACCGAAGAAGAGGAAGACTCAACCAAAGCGAAAGCTAATTATACCCTCCTCTTCGAGTGACTCCGAGGGTGAGAGTTCGGATTCTGACGACTCTCAAGGGGATGCTTCTCCTACACGAGGCAATACACCACCTCGATCCCCTACCCCAGAGATTCAAATTCCCAATTCCCCAATTCCTTCTCCTCCTCAAATCTTTACCACTACCCCTGAATCACCCCATGTAGCCGAACCTCCTCAACCCAAAACCCACCCAACCGAAACTACCCATAAACAACCACCCACCGAAACTACCCATACACAACCACCCACCGAAACTACCCATACACAACCACCAACCTCTCCACCCTCTTCTTCTCATGGAAATGCCTCTGAGGGTGAAAACCCTTATCTCGGGGGAGAAGACATGGTCTTTGATTCGGTCTACTATAGTCCATTTCAAATTCAGAGTGACGAGGAGGATGATGCACCTGTCACTAAGAAACATCTAAAACAGCTCAACGAGAAGATTGATCTCCTTCTCGCCTCCTCGTCCAACCAACAATCAATCCTGTCTGAAGCTGCACTTCAGAAGATTGTAGATGCCTTCACCAGCGCCCAACATGATTCAGCAGCCTCAGCAACTGCTGCAATTCAGGCATCTACACGAGCATGTGAGGCTGCGACCGAAAAAGTCGATAAACTATTTTCTGATGCCTCTGCTCTACTGCAGTCCATGCAACAAAGTGCAGCTGCCACAAAGGCATCATTGGAACCGATTGTCCAACAATTGGTCTCCTTTGTCACATCGGAGTTGCCATCGTTCGCCAATCTACGTAAAACCATAAGCGACGACAACTCGGCTTTTACAGCCTCCATTGAAGCTCGTCTCGTCAAGCTTCAAGAAGATCTGACATCCGAGCGTTCTTTAATGGACGATCTGGCATTAAAAACAACGGCTCTTGAGGTCAAGACCACTCAACTCTCTCAATCTCAACAAGAGCTGGAAGATCTTCGCTCCGAACGGGAGGTGGTTAAGACGTGTGTTTCGGATGTCCACGCTGTCATCTCAAACATCCTGGAAGCACATGATCCAATATTAAACTTTTCGGTGAGGCGATCCCTTGCTGAAAAGCTCTCTCCAGCCATTGATCTACTAAACAAGGTCGAAGGCCTCCCAAGTTTTGTGTCCATTCCGAAACAAGGGGGAGATGAGAAGCCAAGTTCAAAACCACCTCCTTCCTCCAAAGCTACTCATACAACTGAACCATCTTCAACTCATCAAATTTTAAGTTCAGGTATGAAGAACAAAGGTAAAGATATAGCTGAGGACGAAGATGCAGAAGGCGACAAGGAGACCATTGCCGACATTTTGAAACGAAAGAACAGTCGCAAGGTTGGTGATGATGCCAGTCGTGAGGCACGTGAGGCTGCCGAAGCCGAACGTAAGCAAAAAGAAGCCCACGATCTCCTTGAGAGCCGAAAGACTCTCTTCCCTGCTTGGACCAGGGAACGTTTGATAAAAGAGGCCATTGAAACCCCCCAGCATCCTATGGCTCGAGCCGGTCATATCGTTCGACTGCAGCAATTCTGTCGATTCGCAGTTCGATATGCCGCTGACTCGAAAGGCGTTTATCTTTCACGTCTTCTCTAATATTTTTGATGTCCCTCACCCGAACGCTGAGCTTGACAGGGAGCTCATTGACTTTTACCTGAAGGCTGCTCGTCCTCAATTCCTTACATGGAGCGCTCAGAAGATTGTCAATGTTCGGGTGCTAAAGCCTTACACTGAGGGACGTTTTATAAACGTTCGGTTCAAACTGATTCGGGGATCTGCAAAATCTGTTCATCTCATCTCTCTAGCAGATCTACCGAATCTAAATCCTCATGATTGGATCGTCTTGTATAACATCCTTTTGACCAATGAAGCTGAATATGGTCCCATTCTAGACCATGTCAAAAGGATGTTAATCTGCTATATCATGGAGGTTGCCCTTATGGATCAGGAGGTCGCCACAGTCTTCAAGAAGAAACCCAAAATTGCTCCTGTGGGATCGGCCAGTGATCTAAATCAAATGCAGCTGGGCAAGATTGATCCGAGACGTAACACAGTTATGTTCACTAGAGCGGAAGGACAGAAATGTCTCTTCGCTTTAGCTGATAAGCATCTTTACACCACAACTTGCTTGGAGCATGTGCTTTTTATTGTTAAACGGTGTAAAGAGAATTCGGCCGATGATGTTAAGTATTTTGAAGATATGATCAACTGGTACATCCGGTTTAGACAGACAATTCTTTCCATCACCAAGTGTCTGTTTAGTACCGTGAAGAAGGTACCAGTTTCGGCTGCTGGCCCAAGTAATAAATAAAGATCTCGCTCCAAATTGACGCAAAGGGGGAGATTGTTGGGCTTGGAAGATTGCGTCTTTTGGGCTCGTTTGTTTATATTGTTTTGTACTACGGTTTGGGCCTGTCCAACCGTGTGTCTTTTATGCTTTGTATATAAGCTTATGCTTGCATGCATATTAGGTTAAGGTTTTTAGAGATCTGAGAATACGATATTTTCCAGACGACTAAAGGTTTCTTTGATCATACTTGTAACCTTCCAATCCTCTACAGTTGATGTTCTTAATCGAGCTCTTCTGAGGATTTTGTTTTAATCATTCAACACGTTTGATTCATTCTTGTTCTATAATTTTACTGTGTTTATATCGTCATTGTTTTCATAACTTGTTCAAGATCTTATCGATCTTCATAGATTAAAAGAATATTTAATCTTATCAGGTCCTGCCCTCCGGTGTTTTATGTCTGGCCCCTGTCTGTACATAGTAGTTGGAAAGTATTGTTTAAACGCTTATATAATAATAATAATAAGACTAATAATTAGTGACGGTAATATTAGACTAAAATCTAGTGGTGATAATATTAGGTTTCGAAGCGCTATCCGAGTACCGAGTCACCACCTTCTCAGGTGAGTGCATAGTCCCTTTCATCTTACACATAGATATGAATTATTTTATATAAACTACGTGCTATGTGTGCATATTATTTGAATACTTGCTGTCTATGCTGGATGAACGTTTTATACATGTTTTAAAGAGTTTAAGCTATATACGTATTTTATATATACGAATATGTTGGGTATGAGATGGGTAGATGAATGATGAGAGATAGAAGATGATATATTGGCAGCTATAGACTTAGTGCCTATGGGACAAACACCGGTAGCTATGACTTAGTACCTGTTAAATGTTGGTAGCTATGGATTTAGTACCTGTTGGGAATTGGTAGCTATGGACTTAGTACCTGTTGAACATTGGTAGCTATGGACTTAGTACCTATTAGATAAAGACTGGTAGCTATGGATTTAGTACCCAATGAATAGACTATAGCAGCTATGGAATTAGTGTTTTATGAACGAACATTGGCAGCTATGGATTTAGTGTCAGTCCTATAACCCTGGAGGTAAGGGACTTCGGAATAAACGAATGCAGGATAGATGACTCTTAGGTTAAATCCTTAAAGAGCAAAGAAGATAATGGGGATGGGTAATTGGGTTGATTGTTTGATTGAATATAGTAATTATATTATTGTGGGTTCAAACCCCTATGTACTCACCAGGTTTCCCAACCTGACCCACTCAGTTTATGTATATCACAGGTGACGAAGTGAAGTGACATTACACTGAGAGATTTAAAAGAGATGTAGATCACTAGTGTAAATCATTGTAAGTTCTGTTTATGCTTATGTTTCGGTATTAACGATGACATCCCAAACATTTTAAAATGAAATAAATACGTTTCTTCGAAAATGTTTTAATAACGTATTTACCATGTTTTTCTGGGAACAAATTCCGCAACCTTTTTATAAAATGAAGTACTCTGATTTTTATAAAGCATAAACAAAAATCGGTCTTTTCTGACCGTGATTTTGGGGATGTCACAACACGCGTCGGATTCGGATTGGCTCGGTGCTTCGGTCCACTCGGAAGGCGACAGGAGCGCGAGGCGCATCGAAAATCTTGACATGACACAACTCGGGGACGCAGTAGCTTTGTGCGAAGGACGTGGCTAAATCCGGACCTCTCATGCGAGATTTCTTGGAAATTGAGCCTCGAACTTCTAAAATCCATAACTTTCGCATACGACCTCTGTTTTTGACGTTCTTTATATGCACGCGTAGCTAAAATTACGCTCTACAACTTTCGTTTAAACTTCGTTGGCTAATTTTGAATTTATTTTTAATATTATTATTTTTAACAGTCCGGGACAGGAAAATCCGTTAAAAATTCATAACTTCTTCATCCGACTTCCGTTTTCGTCAGATTTTCTACCGTTGTACTACAAATAACGAGACCTTCGATTCTTATTTAGGATGTATCGGTCAAATATCGCTCGATCTAAAATTCGAGTTTTTAGCTGTCTACTGCTAAGTTGAAACTTCGAAAAATCATAACTTGCTCATACGAAGTCAGATTTTGGTATTCTTTTTATCGAATTTCTCGGTTTAACGAATACTACGACTTTCATTTAGATTACTAAGGCTAACAATTAGTTTGTCAAAAACTCACTTTTTACGTCATTCGGCGCAGTGTCGCTTTTGTCGCGAATCTTTGTTTGGTCATAACTTCTTCGTTATAACTCAGATTTCGACGAGGTTTTCGCCTACAAGTTTCTAACGAGATTCTCTATAACATCAACTAATAAAATTTTACTTGTTTAAAATTTTATATTTTTGCTAAATTTCACTATTTGGCTTTTAATTGGAATCTGATAAGACTTCCAATATTTTCTTAGTGATTCTAAATATAGTTTTACTTCATTTCTAGTAAAAACCATCTGTTAGAACTCAACACTCAATTTCACATAGTAATTCACAATTTTATTCATTAGAAAACACGATTTCAAAACATGTATGTTATATATATATATATATATATATATATATATATATATATATATATATATATATATATATATAACTGAAATTATATGATTTAATGAATATTATGGTCTAAAATTATATAATCTAAAAGTGATGTGATTCAAATATTATGACGCTTAATTTCTTATTTTTCAAAACTTTATTGCTATTAAATTTCAAAACTCGAACTTACTTACATTTCAAAAACATAAAAAAAGTAATATATAAAAAAACAAAAAAACAAAAATAAAATCAAAAAACTTTGAATTTTTTTAAAGTGTTAATAGTTTTTTTATCGTTGAATCGTAATTTGATAAATATCATAACATATTTTGAATATAATTTGTTGTTTTTGCTTCTTTTATAATCTTCAAATTCCCATTTTTACGTTTCATCCAAAATATATATTACAGCCAAGAATTTTAAAAAATAAAAATTTATCGTTGAATGTATTGTATTCACAATCGCACACTTGACTTCTTCTAGAATATAATTATTTGAGTAACACAAACATCCAAATTTTCTTATATTTTATTTTTAATATGTAACTATCATGCAAGAATATATGGCGTACCAGTGGTGCCGCGCCAGTAATCGAAAATGCTCAAGAATAGTTTCATAAAATAAAAAAAATAATAAATAAGTATATATCTATAGAGTATGATCATAGAAATAATCATATCAAAAAATTAGAATAGTTATCATTAACGGTGTACGTCAAATCGATTTGAGAATCAAAATATATGAAATCATGTTTGAATTCAAGAAATGATATTACGAAAAAGTAAATAATTTTGTGATTTGATTTAGAGTAAGAAAGCTCGATTACAATTTTGGATGTAAGAACTTACAAAATAGTTACTCTACTTTCTAAATAACATCTATTTTTATAGGTTGACAAAAATGGAGCCGGTTAGAGAATAATCAATAAGGTCGTCACACATAGGCAATGACACGATCCAATTCAATTACGCTCATTTAATTCCAAACC